ATTTAGCTGTTAAAACAGCCTAACATCTATCAATACATAATTCAAACCTAAGAGGCTAAGGATTTAAGTACATGACTCAATAGATTGTATAATGACATATAACGTGGTATATGTCTTGTTTCCAGACTTTAAATGAGTACGACAGCACGAATTAAAATTGCTGTGTGGTATACAAGACACGCGAGTGGAGTAAAATATCTACAATTCACTGAGTCACGTGCTTAAATTATTTTGACACAAAATTGCAAACGATTTGTACAATCACTCAAAATGAGTTTTCCGTTGTACACTGAAAACCAGTTAAGTGAGAAACAAATTTTGCTAAAAAGTGAAAAAAACACTGGAGTATTTTTTTCAAATAGCCATGCGGTATGTATCTGCATACAGTTGTACACAAGTTACCAAAAACATTGAAGTAAACTCCCAGGAAAAATAGGTGAATTTTCAAATTGAAATTAGGACCCGTCGCAAACGTGTCGATTTTCACATATCCAATCCCTATTTAATATGTTAAACTATTCAAATTAGAGTGCAACATTTTCAAAAAATCAAGAACGTTCCTCATGTTGACTCAAGTGTCCTATAAAATCACAAATGAATTTGGACTACAAGCATTCCTTTTTGATGTGCATCACTTGTGAACATGATACATTCTAATCCATCATTTTTCTCGATTTTTTGCTTGCTTTACGTTTTTTAATTTGAGTAAAATAGGAAGGGTCGACTCCAATGAAACATGATTAGAGGCGATGGTGAAAAAGTATGCGAAATACGATTAGAAAACGATAAAAGTTTTATTGGGGAAGTATTGACCATTAGGCCAGTTAACTATTTAAGGCGCGTGTCGATTTTCACAATAAAATCTTAAACAAATGGCAGTGAGATTAGGATCATTTTAGGGAGCGCATACTTGACAAATGGGCATGTTTGATATGCAGGACATGACTAGCTGGATTTAGAAGGTTTTAGTTAGTATTTGTGTGTAAATATTGTTATCATTTCAGGCCAAAACTTGACATAAACCATAAATTAAAGACTACAGTGTTTCATATTTATTCTACTATCGTTAATAAAGTACGTATTACGTACGGGGAACACAATACAATCATCGCTTTGGCTATGGACTGAACATTATCATATGTACATATGTATTTTCACTATTTTCAACAACTAAGTGCACAATTTACATGTAAATCTTTTAACACCGATCTTTTGTCGTGCGAATTCCTTTTAAGTCTTGAAATGACTGTCTTCCTGGTGAATCTAAAGTTTCTTTAGTTGAACCGGTGGTGTTTATGTGGCTATGTTCATTCTGAGATTTCTGTTTTAGGCGCCACAGTTTCCGCTTTAGAGAACGAATTTCTTTTTTCTCATTTTCGATTCCTTTTCTAAGGTTTCTGATCTCACCCCTCATAACTTTCGTTAAACTCAATTGTTTCCTGTGTTTTTTGTTTTTCTTTGAATTTCGGGAAGAATTATTTTCAATGGGGTGCCCCCGGTTCTTGTTTTTCGAGAAGCAGAATACAATTCATCTCGCTTTTGTTGCCTCCATTGTCGCATGTATATTTTGTGTTTCAGGTTTCGTCTTGCTAGTTCGGCTGGCGATATGTGTCCATGGGGAACGTAATTTTTTGCATTGCGCTCCTTGCACTTTTTGTATATTCTCGGGCATTGACTTGTTTTTGTCTTTCCCTGTATCTTTTGCAACGCAATCATTTTGCGAAGGCAAACTATGTCTTACAGATCACGTCGTAGTAACAGACTGCAAATGAATTTGATGAAATAGAATTAGAACATAAACATCGTTAAAATGTATATGCAATCGTTCATATTACAAACTAGACTTGTTGGTTTTTCTCTTTTTCCACTGAGAAGGGTGAAATCATTGAAAAGAAAACTGAATCCAAACTTTAAAGAACTCTATAATTGAAGTTAGTGATTCCCGGGAATACACTGGACGAAACGTTATTTTCAGTGGCTGAAAGATTTTGGTATATTATTGTCTTCATAGCGGATTTTGTAGAGAAATTCTTTCGCTAAATCATGCTTATGTAATTCCAAAATAACTTCTCATTTGCTTGCATGTAACGTAATTTTGTAAAGACGTATAAAAGATAACATGCACACTTACCAAAGAGAAAACTTGTTAGCAGCTATCGAAACCCTCTGTACAAGTTGATGTTATGCGTAATTATGGGAATAACTGTTATACATGTGTTTTCAAAGGATTAGTAATCATATAAAATAGAACCAACCCCGCTGTGATTTATAAAAATGGATTATTTGATGCTTTGAGTTCAATGGTATAATCATGTCGATTTTCACGCATGTCGATTGTCACAGTTTCACATCGTATTGGTCAATAAATGGGGTCATGCTGGTTCTTTCGAAATTTCCTTTTGCTATAACAGAATGGACATATTGTTTTATAGAATAGTGTACCTTTTCACATTAAAGTGCTGTCAATGAATGAGTAACATCGTGGTCGTTTTTCACAAGCAAAACGGTGATTTCCAAGAAGTTTTCAGATCATGCTCATTATAATCCAATCACAATTGCAAATAACATTTCTGACATGATGGTCTGATAAACTGAACTAAGGACTTAATAACCACAGATAACTTTTGTTTCTCGGATTCCCCTCACGACGTGTGGGTGCGTTTTAACGACCATGTCGATTTTCACAGAATAAATTTTACACTTACTATATCGGGTCTATTTAATTAGTAATTGGTGGAGACAAAATACGGTGCTTACATCATACTCTGAATGAATGTTCTCTATACCAACAAAACCAAATTTAAAAGATGCGACCATTTATTATTGAGATATGACATGTTTTAAGCGGCGTGCTGTCCTGTTACACGAGCAATTTCACGAAATTCCTAATCTTGGAGCCAAATATCAAAGCGATTTACATTCGGAACAATCAAAAAGTATGCTGACGGATTTTAGATAAAGTCATTGTGTTTTGGAATACACAAAATGATGAGCAAAAATCAATGTAGTTTCAGCTATTTTCATTAACATGAAAAATAGCCATTTTTAACATTTATTTGTTTTCACTGTGTAGTCCATCACACATTTGGAATATAAGTTATATCATCACTATGTCCACATGTCTGTCTAGATGATTGATACAGTAGGTATATAAGATATTGTAATATTGAAAATGTTCAATATCATCAATAATCTGGTACCCTGAGGCCAAGCTAAAAACGATATACCTAAATATATATCGCACTTCAAAAATCTCTAAAAATGGATATATACTGTATATCTAATGTATTACTGGCTGACAAAAACAACAACATCCCCTTTTGCAGCAAACACTTCCAAATTATATTCAATTATACGTATATATGTATAATGTGTGAAAACTGATTGAACTATGGAGTTAGCCAAGGAACTTTGGCCATATAATTGTTGAAAAAAATATTTAATTGAATTATCTTCAATAGACTCAAACCAAAAATCAAGACAAGAACATAAAAAAATATATTTCGGATGGCATGCTCGACTGTATATAATCAATCTACCCTACCCCTATACTGACGCCTGTATTTTTTAAAGGGATACAGGGTACAGTGAAGTTGCAATCGGACTGCAGCCTGTATTTTGTAAAGTGATACAGGCTACAGTGAAGTTGCAAACGGAGTGGATATTCTTTATATTTGTTAAAAGGGCTTTTCTGGTAATAATACAATGCAAACTGCTCGAAACGTCCCCCTTTCAAAGAAATTCACGACAGCATGAGGGTGGGGTAGTGTGATAATAATCAAATATTTTATTCTGGCTTCCAGGAATATAAATTGTTCAAATGTATTCACCTCAATAGAAAGAATATTTGTATTGCCACATTCTCATATTAACCAATGACACTCAGTCTTTACTGAGGATGGATGCTGTTGTCTTTTGAGACCCTGTACACCATTTCTCTTGACACCCTGTATAATATATATGAATATAACATGTATTGTACAACTCTGTAACATAAATCTAACTAGTATCTAACTTTATCGTATGATCTGTAAAATGAAGCCCTCAGCTGATAGGTCAGTTCTTGTGTTGTCTCAGTAGCAATACAAAGAATACAGAATATTTCCCAGGGATTTTACCCCTATACTCCTAAGTAAAATCTATCGGTCTAAGATCACACGATAGAACGTTATAGAATGATTTGAAGTACAATAATACATGCGATTGCACTTCAAATCATTAAAAACGTATAATACCACCTACATCTACATTTTATGACTGGTAATTTATATAAATATACTGTTCATTTTAAACATTATAAACAGCCCAGCTTTACCTATGTATGCAGTGATACTAATTTGCATACAGAAACGATTGTCGAGTATTGTCGAGTATTAAAAATGGACGGAGTTTGTAATAAGCATTTATACTAAAATCAAGTTTCTTTTTTTCTTGTATGATCACAGTTTCAGTTTTATAAATATCTTTTTCTTTTTTTTTCAAAGTTAATGAGACATTTATCAAGGTGAATTATATTTATCTTCTTATTCTACTGTTATTTTTTCGATTTCGATCGATTGCATTTATTGGTAAGCCTTTGTTTGGCAGATATGATGAAATGAATGCATTTTGAGCTCATTATTTTACAGTTTTTTACAGGCGGGTGGAAACGCGTAGAAGAAATATATCACAAAACCACAATTCCATTAAAAGAATTAGGTAGTGTGAATTTTTGTTCAAAATCAAAATCTTTGTTTCACTCAAATTCGAGAAAAACACGGTGCATGACTGTCAATTTATAACAATGCTCGAGGTCTTGGGACGTGATGAGCGTAGTGACAGGTACAAAACGTTCACAGACTAGTACTACCAAATAAAACTAATTTTACACGACACGCTTTTCTTGCGAAAATTCTCTACGCGTTTCCACCCCTTGTACAATGAAGCTGTACCTTCTGACCTTGGGCCAATTTATTTGCATTTTGGTCTTGATTTTTGCTTAGATTAATTCCACGTGGATGTGGATAAATGGAGTATCATGTCAGATTTAGTAGCTCTGTATGGTTCCATTGGGCTGTATGGGCGCAATGGTCTGTATGGGTCCATGGGTCTGTGCGGGTCCATGCGTCTGTATGGGTCCACGGTGACTGGAAACCATACCTCCATGTGTATATCCTCCGTTTACATACGTAACTGTGGAAGTACCTGGAGCCATCGTGCCTGTAATACGATACTTATCGCTATAACCTCATACGCACGTACTATCTCATAAACATCAACACGGTTCAAGTTTAATGATTTTAATTTAATTTTTCAGTTCAATTTTTTAATGAATGTCTCAATTATGCTTATATGAGTCATATTTACTGGACTGACTGAGTATATGATAACAGGCTGTGCACTTACCACCAGCTAGAGTGTATGACAACAGGCTATGAACTTATTTTCAGGCTGTTTGGTAATAAGATGTGAGTTTACCGACAGAGTGTATGATAACATGGTCTATGCGGGACCATGCGTCTGTATGGGTACATGGTGACTGGAACAGAGTGTATGATAACAGGCTATGAGCTTACCCCCAGAGTGTATGATAACAGGCAGGTGTGAGTTTACAGCCAATATGGACTTACTGGCAGAGTGAATGATAACAGGCTATGAACTAATTAAGCCCCAGAGTGTGTGATGAAAGGCTATGAACTAGCTGCCAGAGTTTGTGATAACAGGCTATGCACTTACCACCATAGTGTATGATAACAGACTATGAACTTATTTCCAGAGTATTTGGTAACAGGCTGTGAGTTCACCGACAGAGTGTATGATAACAGGCTATGCACTTACCACCAGAGTGTATGATAACAAGCTATGATCTTTCTACCAGAGTGTATGATAACATGGTATGGACTTATTTCCAGAGTATTTGGTAACAGGCTGTGAGTTCACCGACAGAGTGTATATGATAACAGGCTATGCACTTACCACCAGAGTGTATGATAACAAGGCAAGCTATGAACTTTCTACCAGAGTGTATGATAACATGGTATGGACTTATTTCCAGAGTATTTGGTAACAGGCTGTGAGTTCACCGACAGAGTGTATGATAACAGGCTATGCACTTACCACCAGAGTGTATGATAACAAGCTATGATCTTTCTACCAGAGTGTATGATAACATGGTATGGACTTATTTCCAGAGTATTTGGTAACAGGCTGTGAGTTCACCGACAGAGTGTATATGATAACAGGCTATGCACTTACCACCAGAGTGTATGATAACAAGGCAAGCTATGAACTTTCTACCAGAGTGTATGATAACATGGTATGGACTTATTTCCAGAGTATTTGGTAACAGGTTGTGAGTTCACCGACAGAGTGTATGATAACAGGCTATGCACTTACCACCAGAGTGTATGATAACAAGCTATGATCTTTCTACCAGAGTGTATGATAACATGGTATGGACTTATTTCCAGAGTATTTGGTAACAGGCTGTGAGTTCACCGACAGAGTGTATGATAACTTACTGCGAGATTGTATGATAACAGGCTATTAACTTATCGCGAGAGTATATGATAATATGCTCGAGCTCTGAACTTACCCCCAGAGTGCATGATGATAGGCTGTGGAGCTACGCGTTTCTTACAGCAATAGAAGTAACAGCAAAGGCTGAGAAGAATCACCATGACGATGAAACCGGCAGCTCCTCCACCAATAGCCCACCATATCCAACTGAAATGTAAATAATCGAGTAACTCTGGAAAATCAAATCAACAAACGCTAAAAGAAAAAGAAACTAAACTTTAGAAACAAGACTTTTAGGAATAGTAGCGTCAATGGCGTTTTACAATACCTGGTAATTTACCGGCTCGTGTAATACAAGTCTATGATACACCCTATGCAGACAGAGCCTGTGGGAAATATTGGGTGCGGAGCAAATGAGCGGAGGGTGCGGAGCTAACGGTTATTTTTGAATTTAAATTCGTTTTGGGACTTCAAATATACCAAGATATGTGTATTTGACACCAAATATCAAAACAATTGTGAAAATAGTAGCGCAATTCATTCTATAGCGACGCAGTGTGCCTTAAACCTTTCCCAGATCTATATATTTTGAAATTATCCTTTTAATACTGAGTCCCCAGCATTCATAAAAAATGGTGTTCAAGGTGCACTATCTATACAAATTATTTTTGCATCTTGGAAGCCAGGCAGTATCTTCAGATATGAGCCCCCTCTAAATATTGGGTGCGGAGCTACGTTTATGGAGCTGCTCCGCACCCAATATTTAGAGGGGGCTCATATCAAGATGCAAAAATAATTTGCATGGGTAGTGTATCTTGAACACCATTTTTTATGAATGCTGGGGACGCAGTATTTAAAGGATAGTCTCAAAATATATAGGTCTGGGAAATGTTTAAGGCATACTGCGTCGCTATAAAATGAATTGCACTACTATTTTCACAATTTTATTGATATTTGGTGTCAAATACACATATCTTGGTATATTTGAAGTCCCAAAACGGCTTAGTTTCAGAAATATCCCAATTTTAAATTCAAAAATGACCGTTAGCTCCGCACCCTCCGCTCATTTGCGCCGCACCCAATATTTCCCACAGGCTCTGTCTGCATAGGGTGTGATAGCACCCAATTTAGGTCGAAGCGCGCTATCAGCTATATTTAGTAAAATTCCGCGAAGCTTGTCAACTTCACGAAACGTGACAACCCAAAGAGGATTGGCTCCCAGAGTGCAACATCGATATTCTGTCCCATATATGGGCGCGTCGTGATACAAAATTCGAATCCAAACAGCCGCCATTTTGTTCACTTATTTGAATCGTGAATTTTGGTCTTATTTCCTAACGAAAAATTCCAAAACTCACAAGAAATTTTTATGTTTATGTTTCTTTATTTTCCTCTGTTTTTCTGCCTGGGTATTGACTTTTCCTGCCTTTTTGTTGCATCAAGAACATCTAAGGACTTACCTGTCCGGTGGTTCACAATAGCTCCAAGCGTTACAGAAACATACATCGCCATCAAATGTTATATCCACCAAACCACTGATGAATGAAAGTGCTTTGTTAATTGCATCACTGTAATATTTGTTTTTGTAGCACGTCATCATGCTTGTCCCAGGCTCCACCGACATACAATCCCTTGCGTGAATAGTGATCGTCACTTTAAACCTCGCAACTGGACAACATTTAAAAGAAAAATTTAACGATTATTTGATAGGGTTTTGAGAAATGGATACCATCTATTTTCAATATTATGCAATGAATTAATGTTTACGGATTAAGCCCTGAGAGCCATCTACTGTTCCTGAGTTACAGGCCATTCTTGATCTTAAGTTAAGGATTGGGTCATTTTGAGTCTTATGATTATCAACGGCTACAGTACATATCAAGTTCAACACCTACATATCAAATTCACTGATGCCTCCACTTTTCCATTTACGTATCCACACACTTCTCCTTTACGACAGGTAGTAGTAGCAGTTGAGGATGAAGGATATTCGCAGCTAAAATCAGTATGTCCCACTGTGCTTATAACATTGCTTGACGTGAACACATCCACGCATTGGTAGCATCTAAGAGCGTAAGCTAAAATCGTTCAATGCATAAACATTTAGGAAAACGTAATTTACATACAACGCATTCGAAAGGAAAATGTGAATATTGTTTACAAAGACGGTAATGACTTAAGTGCTGTATGTGATGAGTGATTTGTAGCTAAAAAAATCACAACTGTCGTTATATTCTGACATTATAACTGACTATAAATTCATAATCAGCGATCCAAAAGATTTGAACTAATATCCTGATTTCTTCTTGCGTGTTTTGATTTTTTGATGGAATAAAACCAAAACTCGCGATTCAAATTCTAAAGTAAAAAGAAATTCAAAAAGCATCCCCGGACATAATTTTTGGACATTCAATATCTTGCCTTTTAGATGTCAACACGGTGATTTATGATATCGAAGCCACAGCTCAACGGACTGCGACTCGCTTAACTTTTCAGGATCAGCGCGTTATATGATACCGAACACCCATTGTACCGAAAGGCATATATCGAAAGCCATAATACCGACCCGAATAGAACCGAATTTCTGCTTGCATTGCAACCTTTTATAGACAATGCAAGGCCAAAGTAATTGACTACCAAAATTATCAAAAAGGAAGGCCTGTTTAAAGTTTATTTTGAGTAAAATAAGAATCGGCAGTTTTCCAGTTTTAATACATGATAAGTGGTTGTGGTTAATTTGTCAAATGGTCAAATTTTATCCTTTTCCTAATTCTAATTTTTTTCCTAATTACAAGAAACTTCCCATTCAATATTATGAAGATAATATATCCGACATTTAATTTTCCGAACATGAAAAAATTAGGCAAAGGCAAATTAAATGATCGATTAGGCAAAATTACCACATATAGTAATACATATCATATTTGATGAATATAGTACCTGTGACAATAGAATGAAACATCTACAGTATCACCACTTCCACATGTGTTAAAATTGTCTAAACACCCTTTCACAGCGGGATATGAATTGGTGAGACTGCACACTGACGATCAAATAATATCTAGATATTCTCCCATCTACCATTACAATCCTTATAACTTAAAAACTATGATTTCGATATAATGGTTTTCGGTTCTAACGCGCATCGGTATTACTTCGTCCCGGTACAATGCGCGTTGGTATAATGAGGTTATCCCAACTTTTCACAAATTGACAAATCCAGATATTTCATATGTTAAATGTGTTTTCGATGACGAAGAGATTGCTCAAGTCATATGTTTACAGAAGTGAAAATTCATTTATTCTAAAATTGATAACTGGTATGTTTGATTCCAAATATATTTGCTCTCCCAAACGCCGATAAACAAAACAGATATATTTTGTATTTGTCCAAATTTTAGATATTCAAATCTCATTATGTTTTCCATTGTAAAATTATTCATAGTAGTTAGTTCGTGAATGCAAATAACGGCTACCGGATTAACCTACTATTTTATGACCAACTCATTTAAATATAAATGGAATAGTGACAGGTGTTATTCATGTTTAAATGAGTTGCTCATTAAATATCAGGTTAATCCGGTAGCCGACAGTCGTTAGTTGCATCCAAAAATTAACAGTCCCGCAGGCTTCGGCGTATAAAAGACTCAAGAAAGCTATAGTAAAAACATTTAAATATACTCAGATATAAAAATAAATATTGAAATATTTTCTTCTATAATGTATAGTTTTTGCTAATGATCTTTGGAGAACAGCTGGCTAATTCATATTTATACGTATTTATATGGAGACCCTGTTTACTCACTGTATGGATGTATTTATGAAATAAATCTAGTATTGATTAGAAAACAAAGGTCTTGAAGAGTACGTATCGTTTACATGTTGTATACATATTAATACTGAAACTGAAAAGATTTGATCGTGTTTCATCATTTAGCCACTCCGTTCCTATTCGGCTTTTAATGTCGAGATTTATGTAATGTAGAAAAATGAAAACTCTTGACGTTAAAGCTGTATGTCAATACTGTATATAACTCATAATAATAATACATATACATAATACAGTAATAAAAGAGAAATTAAATAATTAACTACCTGTACTGCACAAGAGCGAAACCTCAATCAGACAATAAACACGTTTGAACGCCATTTTGGACCCGCTTTTAATCAAACAAAAAATACGTTGACTTCATCTTATTTACAATTTTTCATTGAATATCAATGAGTTCCGAGAATTTCCCAGTTTGATTATAATACTGGTTACCATGACCTTCATTTGTTATGTTAATTATGTGTTGCTAGACGATCGGTTAACTAAAATTGGAAATCGATGAGTACTATTTTTTCCTAGGAACTGAGACACGGAGGATTAGATCCCCTGGGCTTCCAACTCGATACTCTGCCTCATATGGAGATGTCGTGACTCTTGATTACAAATATCGAATATAAACAGCCACCATGTGTTCACCTCAGGATTTGAATCGCGAATTTTGGTCTTATTTCCAAACAAAAAATTTCAAAACACAAAAAAGTGATCGAGATATTGGTTCAAATCTTTTGGACTGTTGATAATGAATTTATAGTGAGTTGTAATTTCAAAATAAATAAAGACATTTTGACATTATCATTGTCAGAAAATACCATGTTGTGTCGTCCCTGGGAGTCAATCTTAATATGGATCTGAGATGCAGCTATGTTATGATATAACCATCAGCAAATAAGTGAAGCAGATCATATTTTGTAATGCATCCAATTAATCATCTCTATCTCCACGCCTAACCATCGACAAGGTACAGTCACGTGACAGGTGACAAAATATGCCGTAGTACACTTTTGATGTACTATGTCACTATTAACTGATTTTGAGCGAAGACCATGATGTAGGTTCGATGCAGGTTTTCAAAAATAAATTTTAGGAGAACACAAAGGATTTTATGTTTGATTTCGCGTGCATTCGATTTCAAAGACATTTATTTTTCTAATAACGTTAAAAGATCTTCGAGCAGTGCTCGATTTTTTTCGTTGTTAGTCTACCCATACGATTCTTCGGTTGGAAAAATGTTGTTTTTTACACATTTCCTTTGATAATTTTCTCCCCTGACGTCTCAGAGTGTCGAATATTTTTATGAGAATGTGTTTCTCTAAACTACACAGTTTAGGACAGGTAAACATTTAATAAACATTCATGCATTTGATATAATTTAAAAAATCAGAAATGTACGTTGTCAACTCACAGTGTATGTTGTCCCTGTAATTGAAATACATGAGTTATAATATTAAACATTGCAATGATTTAATTTCAAAATGCATTAAGGGTTTTATGCGTTACAAGTGATGTTCAACGAACATGCTCCTGTATCCCTAGTACAGATAAACAGGTAAAAGTGATTTTTTCGTTGAATGCTATTTTATTTTATGAAAGTATTAATATGGTGATTAATATGTGACCACGGCGTGTTTTCTTCCGACCTCTTTAACCACTCGACGTCGGTACGTTACGTTATGTTTAGTTGCACTTTTATGAATTTTAATAATCTTAAGGAGTTCATGGAGAGATCTTTACTAGCTAATCCAAGATGACTTTATGCTACAGGGTGTCCCGAAATTATGGGCCCCCATAGGCAGACATATACCAATGTCTCCATGTATGTGTCGTATATCATTTTAAAGCTCATCCAAAGTTATATTAATTTGCCGAGTATCATGGTTCAACTCACAAATGGAAAAAGTTACAGGAATTTCAAAAGTTAGTGTTTGGACAAAATTAAAGTCAGTTTTACACCAAAACATTAGTCGGTGTGTCTCCTTAGCCGCCATGTTAACAGCAGCAATACTTTCCATATATGATCTTAAACTGGCTTCAAATAGGGATATGGCGTTTTGTAATCTTCATAAAACCTTTTTAAGGCATAAGAAGAGTTTCCTTGGAGTATCTTCCCTAAACGTCATTTTTTTAGAACTCGATATCCATATATTATCTTCGAGAATAGCATCCATATTTTCTGTCACATTCAGGTCAGGGCTGTTTCCAGGATACTGAAATGAACTTTTTGGCAAAACGCTAATTTTTGAAATGCCTGTTACTTTTTACCATTTGAACCATCATATTTGGCAAATCAATGTAACTTTGGATAAGCTTAAATATGATATATGACACATACTATGGAGAAATTGGTATATGTCTGCCTAGGGGGGAAAGTGCAGAAGTTCAAAAGCCAGGGTTATGGAATACTAAAAAATTATTAGTAACATTGATATTTAATCATATCAATGACAATTTTATTGATTAACGGACAAAATATTAGAGTAAATTTTTCGATATGCCAGCCCTATTATTATAAATCATTACTTTATTATCAAATATGTTCCTTCTATTACACGTACATTATACCATTTCATTCATGTAAAATTAACTGTGAATTGAGATCTGTAAGGCCAATGTGACAACATACATTCGAGTTGACAACATAGATTATCTGTTTTTCGTAGTAGCATCCAAAGTAAAAAGCGGTTTTGCATTAACTCTGGATGTATATTTGTATACTTATCTTAAGTTGTGTTAGTCGTAGTTTGGCTGTTATTTGCATAGCAAAACAAAAATTAGAGAGAATTTTGCGAAATTCAGTCAAGATTTAGAGATACCTGACGTACTGGGTAGATCTATAACAAGATATTGAAGTTGCTGAGGATCATTTGAAGTAGATATGCATATTTGCAACTTAATTACAAATCGAATGCAACAACTGCCTAATGATGAACTGACACAATATTGATCAAATCAATGCTAGTTCTTACCTCGCTTCCTCATTCTAGAAAATGGCGATATAAAATGGCGGAAATGACATAGTACATCAAAAGTGTACTACGGCATATTTTGTCACTGTCACGTGACTGTACCTTGTCGATGGTTAGGCGTGATCTCTACCGTCTAAGTTTGAATGGATAAAGGTCTTAAAGTCACCTTTCTAGATTTTAGAGGGTAACGTCAGGAATTTAAAGAAATACTTCTTAAGACAATAGTCTCACCTTTCAAATATGATGGAATCAGGTGACAAAAAACACACCATGACAGGAAACAGCATTCAGTCTAATAACCACACGTTTGAGGGTTCGAATGCCGGCCATGGCGAATCATTTTTCATTTCTGAGCCACTTATATTTTCTTGATCTCATTTTACATAACACAGTGTCACATTTATTAATTTTGGGGAGTTTTAAACTGTATACAATCATATAATGTTGGTTTGTGGCTTTGATCACTAATTATATTTGTGATCCACGATCCCTTCGTGGGATTACACGATTTGTAAATAATTTTGCAAAACCTATATCATCGTCCATGTCGTCGGTCTATTTGAAAACACAAATATTTTTTCGAGTCCAACGTTTACCTCTTTTATTCGTCTATGTGAAATGGGGGTTCAGAAAACAAAGTATGAGTGAGAATGTAGCCCAAATTATTTTGAAAAGGTAAGAAAAAGAGTTGGATGTAAAATTGAAAGAAATGATAAGAGGTCACAACGTTTCACCAGGATTTAGTAGTTTCTTCACATTTTTTCTTACATATCCCTAAGAACATCTTGGGAACTGTAGGTTTTGAAAGAACAATCGAATTCTCTACGCAACATTTTTTAATCATACAGTAAGTATACTATTTATTTCAGAGATTCACGGCGTAATCGCCCAGAAAGGACATTCTATATACGTGTCAGAAATAATTTGAAAATGTTGCCCTCGGTTATTCCTCTTAAAACCCAGTACTCATAGTTTATCCATAACATAATTATGATTTCCCTCTTGGATGTGCTACTTGAGTTTCTATGACATCTAAATTTTAAATTATTAAATGATAAATAATCTGTTTTTTCTTTGATTACAACTTCATCATTTTATAAAACTGTTTCTATTTCTATAATTATCCCAACGAACGAAGTTCGGTAGGTATATAGTGAAGCCCTCCGTCCGTCCGTCCGTCAGTCCGTCAGTCTGTCAGTCCGTCAGTCAGTCAGTCCGTCCGCCCGTCCGTCCGGAAGATAACTCAAATATTAGTAGACGGATTTTCTTCATATTTGATGGAAGATGTATATTGATGAATAGTTTTACGCAAAAAAAAATTTTCAAGATGGCCGCCGCTTTAAAAATGACGGGACTTTTTCGCAAAAATCATAAATTTTTCATTCTAAACCAAAGTAATTAATATTATTGTTTGAAATTTTGGTAGTATATTCGAAACATCTATCTATTTCACATATATTCCGTGTTTTTCATCCTGACCCCCAGGGGCCGTGTATGGGGGTCAGGAAAACAGAAATTTTCGCTAATTTTTAGATCTTTCTGAAGTATAGCTTTATTATACTCAAATGAAAGGCAATTAAGATTAGATTGCAAATATTGTATCTTTTTTGTGATTCGAGCCTCGTAAAATTCAAAATGGCCGTCTAATGTACGATTTCGCAATCATTTTTCGATCCCTTCAAAGTATGGCTATATTGTACTCAAATTGAAGGAATTTTGGAGTAGATCACAATTATGCTATTATTTTTCAGATTTGTACCTCAGAAAATTCAAAATGGCTGCTTTGCAGGAATTCGCAATTCTAAAATCTAAATTTTTCAATTTTAACCAAAGTAATGAGTATAATTGATTGGAATTTGGTAATTGATATTTTGTTCGTTGGGATTTGCTACTCCGTGGAGTTGCCATTATCTAGTTGCATGTGCAAATCGTTTGAGCAACATGGTTCCAAGACCACCACGTCGTGTGCGCATACAATAGTGGTATACGTTATATTTCAAAAGTAGAAAAATATGGATGAAGTATGGATGGAGATGTTGAAAAATCTAAAGCGAATGGTACTCAGAAACCAGCTGAACAAATGCATAATATTGCAATTAAAACAAGTCATTCCAAGTCCACTCAAAGCTACCACTCTGTAAAACCTCTGCTGGGAGTTTCTTCCAAGATATCCCTCTAACTGAAAATGTTGTCAAAGTGAGTTTACGTCATTTATTAAGAATTTCTGTCCTAGCCCATGTAGAGTATTAACAACTTTGTCAGATATGTTTAATTTGGGTATGCCAGGGTCGACTTTAATTTCTGTTTGTATTTCAACATTGGATTTTTAAAACTTCGTTGGGGTGGGTTGATACCCGGGGTTTGAAACCGCGAAAGCTCCTTGTTGTTGGGGTGGGTACATTTGATACCCTTGGTTTGAAACCGCGATAACTCCTTGTTGTTGGGGTTGGTGCATTTGATACCCGGGGTTTGAAACCACAAAAGCTCCCTGCGCAGCTGCTCCTGGAACAAAGCATTGAATTAGAATTACTTGTGTTAGTAAACGTGCCACCTGAATACCATACTTCAACTGGTCTAAAAAATTTAATAAACATATTCGAACATTAATGAGCATCGTGGGAACATATGCGTTAATACTAGGAAAGATAGTCTGTATAGGGGCCCTAAAGTGTTATCGTAACTGTTAAGGGGCCCTCGGGTT